TTCTATGTACAACTAATTTATTACCATGATTGACTTATGCCACTAATATTACACAAATACACAGAACTTTGTTTTTATTGAATTTAATTAATAAAAGCAAATAAAAATCTCAAATCATGATGAAAATGTTATTAATGAATATTTTTAATTAACAATTACTGAAAATGTTTGGGTCGTCAATAGCCTGACCCCCAGTACACGTGAACCCCAGAATGCGGTCATAATTCTTATATATGTTGCGAACCCATGCCGTGCGACAGTCCGTGCAGTTGATATACTGGCCCCCAATGTTCACCTGATTGGCGTAATGTGCGTCCAAAAATGCCCCGAACACTTTCTCGTCCAAATAAGTGATAGGGTTGGGTTGGATGAACACCAGTAGGTCCAGATATGTCTGCCGTTTAATGTTTGTCAGTGAATTGACCGCAAAACTCGAGCTATTAATGTACGGACTGTTGAATAAATGCAAAGCCAGTCTCAGTTTGGACGGTTGGTTGAATGCAAACGCTTTTTCTCGGATGTAGTCTATGGATGAGTGATCCATGGTCAGGGATTCAAGTGAATTAAGGCTCGCAAAGGCATTGTCCCCCAAATGCTTGAAATTACCGCTCAATCAAAGTGATGTCAACTTATTTTGGTAGCCATTTATTGGTCGGAAAGCGTCCGACGGTATGTCTGTTACGTTATTAGAGACAAAGTTTATGGACTCAATGTTCACAAATTGACTCAATATATCAAATATACCCATCGGCTCAGGGCTACTCAGCACTGGGTTATTGCTGATGAGCAGGGTCTTAGTTAACAAGTAGTTTGCGTCGAAAGCGTTTCGGTGTATGAATCGCAAGCTATTAGCGTATTGTATGTAAATGTTGTCGAAAGTGATGCCTTGAAACGTGTTGTCTTTGAGTTCAGTAATGGCTTTGTTTCGCAGATTAAATGTCTGGAAGTGTTTGGAGTCGTTGTCGAGGCTATGGTTGAGTCGAGCGAACAGTTCCACTAAATCCAAGTCTTCATTGCCATCACATAAGATGTGGTCGTTTTCGCATTTGCATGGATTCAGTAGTGATTGTTGTGGACATACGCTTAGGATTTGAGTGATACTCAGACACAGAGTCACTGAATAGATTAGTGCCTTAACTGTTAATTTAATAAATATTTAATAAATTAGTAATTAAATCATTTTTAAAACATTTTATCGTATGATGGAGAGAGAGAGAGAGAGAGAGAGAGAGAGAGAGAGCATTAAAACTAACCCATTATTAGTTGTATTTTAAAGTTATTTAGTAATACTGTAGTATAATAAATAATTATTATAAAAGTTAATAACGTTATAATGATTAATTTATTATCGTTTGTGCCTTTTATATAATGTTATTATTAGATTAAATAATATTAGAAATTAAGCATAATATAGTTAGTTATATCTACAACCAATGAATACACTTTTATCATACTTTTGCTCTTAGTAAGACATCTTACAAAATGCACTTAAAATATTTGTGTTTATAATCAAATATAAAGGATTAATTATGGCTTAAGTAATCTAAATGTTTTCTTAAGTGTTTATTAGATGAGTTAAATATTAGATGCCATTAAGTGCAAATTGAGTTCACTAATATACGTACACTGTATTCATAGTAATGAACATTGAATATAAATTAAAACTTTTAAAAGAAATAATTTGTTGTTTAAAACAATATTGCAAGTAATTTTAATATTGTATTGATTATTGTGATTGCAAAATATTACTACTATTAAATGCATTGATCTATAATTATTTATCAATTACCTAAACATGTCTTAAATAAATATATGAAGATGTTAATGAATATAATGATCATTATTATTTATTCAATAAATATTTATGTACATTTCTAGTTTAATTAATCGTATAATATAAAACACTGCCAGAACCTAATAGATATTACACAATAAATACAAAATCAACATTTAGTGAACTCAAAGTAGACTATTGATGCGATTTTTGAGGCAATAATCGTCGCAATCGTTGGTATCTTCAGCCCATAACTGGTAATCAATGTCTGAGTACTCATTACACGGTATCTTTGGGTTACTATGGGATGGGATATACATTGGATTCACTTGTATTAACTCAAAATCCGTTGTTTTGCACAATAGGTTTGCCAACGAGACCTTTTGCTTTATATTATCCAGCTGATCTAAAAATGAATTTTAATAATGCAACAAAATTAATCAATAAGTTGATAAAAATTTTAGATTTATCAATACAAATATTAAATGCGCCAGGTTGCGATGAGTGCTCGAAGTAAAACCTGTCCCCATATTTGAGATGATAAAACTGAATGCCAAGAATACAGGCAAATGTAGGCCCAACCACTGACCCATCCATCAAAGTCTCCGCCAAACCACCGATTATTAAATCAATATCTCTGTAATCGCTGCAAAAAAATAATATTTGATACAAAAATGTCTAAAAACATCATATTTCCCAAATTACGTGTATATTTCCATCAATTGTTTCACAATATGAATGGGTATTAAATGGTGTAAATCTTTCCACCCTTTAATATGAATGCCAGTACAGTATTGGACATAATAAACATAAGATCATATTTCCCAAATTACGTGTATATTTCCATCAATTGTTTCACAATATGAATGGGTATTAAATGGTGTAAATCTTTCCACCCTTTAATATGAATGCCAGTACAGTATTGGACATAATAAACATAAGATGCCAGCCCGTGATCCCGACCCCGGAATATATCCTTGACAAACAGATCTGTGGCAGAAAAACGCTGTTGACTCAGAAATAGATGATTCCTGATATCGCTCAGGTATGTTAAGTCCGTATTTTTCTGCCTGTCCTCACACATGCCTTTGATTAACCCGTTTTTCTATTGTAAATATGTATTAATAAAAATTGTATTACATCTTAAACAAGATCATACATTTCCATCCCATAACTCAGTCATTTGATTGAAGTTGAATTTCAATTGCATTTGCGAGATCTTAAATACATTTTTGTCAAGAATCGGGAAATTATTGTTAATATTTGCGTGACTGTAGCGAAAGGCTGCGATTCCGTACTCTTGTATTACACTTGGATTCACTTTTGCATTATATTTACTATACTTTCCGTACGGCTTAACATTGAGATCAAAGAAATCGTATAGTTTTTCGTTCAAAATTGATGGCAAGTACTCCTTAAAGTTTATGTAATTGTATTCAGCGATTAATAAATGCCTAATAAATAAATAAATTATAGAAACATATAGCTTACAATCTTATAAATTTATCAATGTACAATTTATTATAAATGTCTTAATTCTAAATCACCTAGATTCTTGATACAGTGTCTCGTCATCCCAATGTGGGTTAACTTTAGCCAAACCATCGCAGTGTTGGTTATGGCGTACGACTAATACAGTAATCATAGCTGCGATGAGTGGCTGTTGATTAGTCCGTATGCCATCCCCAGCTCTAAAGCACGGGAGCCACAACCTGTCCACCTGTAAGTGACAGGTGTTAACCAAATCATATATATCCAGGTCCTGTGGCAGAACCGCTTCCGGTAGGATAACTGTGCCGACCAGTGACTTATTTGTCTGAAGTTTTCCTGAAAAATAAATTTCAAGACTTTTAGACTATTTCACAAAATACTTAATACTTTGTATATAACTAAGGTATATAATATATATAAATAATATATATAACTGTCAGACCTCCTGAAAAAGTGCGGATAGAGTGGGCCCTCTCATCGGTAAATCCATATACCATTGATAGGTCGAGAAATGATGGCGTGGCTGTCATCTGGTCCCGAGCGCCTGGATATTGAAGTTTCAGTTATATTAACATGCAAATAAATATAATCTGGTAAAACATTATAACCTAATCGACAGGTATTACAAGCTGTGGATCGGGAGATAGTCAGACACGTCTGATTATATGATGTTAATACCATATCTGGCGGGGCGGGTATATATAAGCCACACTCCGGGTGGGGAGCGGGAGGAGGGCAACAAAATGGATCCAAATTTCCGCCGAAGTATTGCAATGTCTTGACCGAGTCGTGGGCGACCACCTGTCCCCACTCCATGTGCATCGATGATCGCGTTTTGTCCAAAACTACATTTCCGTCCGCAAAAAAGTCACTAATAAGCCGTTCATTAGGCAGTG